AAAATGATAGTAAACAAAGAAACTGCTGTAGAAGAAAAGTACGCCAAACTGACCATTGAAGAAGGTGTTGAAGTTAAAATTGTCGACGAAGAAAGTAAGTTGGTATCCAGAGGAACTCCTGGAGAGATCTGTGCGCGAAATGCCTCGGTTTTTTTGGAATACTTAGGTAGCCCTGAAGCTACCAAGCGAACCAAATCATCGACAGGATGGGTTCACATGGGAGATACAGGAATCATGTATGATGATGGTAAGATCGAGATGATTGGAAGAAAGACAGAAATTATCAAACGAGCAACCGTAAAGATTTTTCCTGCCCACATTGAAAAAGTTCTGTTGCAGCACCCACAAGTGGCAGATGTTGTTGTGGTTGGAATTCCTGATCAGCAGTTGCACGAGGAGGTCTGCGCATGCCTAATTCTACGCGAGGATACAGAAAGTGATGGTTGGGACGAGGAGGCAAAAGTTCTAGAGATAAGGGAATGGTGTAAGAGACAGTGGCCTCCTGGACCAGATGGGCTGAGCTTGACACCCAAATATTTTCTTCCAATGAAAAACTTCCCCTTATTAGAAAGAACAGGGAAGACGTTTGTGCGAGGAGTTAAGGATTATGCTTTAAAAAAGCTTAACGTTTAGTCCTAAAACATCTGCTGTTACTTAGAATCAGAGAATCAAAAGGAGAGTGGCTATTTTGAATCGAAATTTTGACAAATCACCAAGTATGGTGAATATTGGGTTGTAATCCATTTGCATACTTCGAAGTATTAAACGGTGCTTTTCGTTTCAATTCCCTTCGAGTATCTGGTAGAATTTAATCATATAGATGAGAGACAAAAAATTAATCTAAGGTTAGCCCTGTAGTAAAATGTGGTTCATACAATTATGATTAAAGGCGGAAGTCAAACGGCATCACTTACGAACTTTTGTTTGTGTTTGGGAATAATAAATTTTCTTCAACGATAGCGTGATCTTTCCATTCCCTTAATTATGATATACAAATGGAGATATTTTAATAACATCTTAACATTTATCTCTAAAACTGAGAAATATAAAAAAACCCATCGATTTTTGAATCTACCCCATCTTTCCTCATTTATGATGAAAATACGATCGCATTAAATGCCGGATATTCATATCCCTTTTAAGTTTCAAAGCTTTTTATTTCATTACTTAAAATGCTGTATTTTTTTAGAAAAATTTTTATTCAATCTTATACCAACGTCCCCTTGAACATTTAATGGAATCGAGAGCAAGGACAGCAATGTACCAGTTGATCATAGCACCCGACAAATACGCCTGTGGCGAAAATGATTTGTGGAAAAGTTCCACTGTATACAGCAGCAAGCACAAACAAATAGTT